GCATTCATTTGGTCTGTAAATCTGAATGCAGGTTTGAAAGATATATGTCTGAATGCAGGTTTGAAAGATATATGTCTTTGTTCTTCAATCAATTGATTTTTAATGACGATAAATGTTAACATCGAAAATTGAATTGTTTCATAGGAATTCCGGTTGGACCATCTACAAATTCGCAAATGTTAAAACCTAATTTCGCTAGTGGATGACAGTTGCTGCTGGGATTACCCCATTTGCCTTTAAAAGTCATCCAGCCTGGTAAAGGCTCGTTATCCTCTTCCAAAAGCAACTCCAATCTTTTCCATGTCGGCCAGGCAGTTCCGAATCCACTCTCATCATATAAACGAGGTACTCGAACAAATTTATGCTTCCCTGGAGCTGTCCAAAGTCCATGAGAGCCGCGCGCGCTAAATAAAATCGGGTGTGAACCATCAGCGGTGTAAACCTTTTCAGGAAATATTGGTTTCTGGAAGAGACCTTTTCTCGTCTCTTGACTCTCGTAGACAAAAGTGCCATTTTGCGGGTCATATTGATAAAACGCTCCAGCATCATGAGCAGATACGTACATTGCCAGAGGATACTCATTATCCTAAACAACAACATTGTATTTTGAAATAAATTTTAAGTAGGTATACAAGACAATAAACGAGGAAATAATAGAAAGTTAATAGAAAAATTTATTTTGAAAATGTTTAAAGGGATAAAACTGATCTTTACCTTGAAATAAAGGCTCATATGTTCCCAATCTCCGATGTGGCTACCATACTCTTTGAGCGTACCTATGCACACGCCACCGATGGTGGGTATCGGCCAGCTGCCAAAAAATCCAAGATCTAATACACATATCGTTTTTCCTTCGCTAAATGGATAAAACATCCAATAAGTTACGTGAAAATGCACTTTCCGATATTCATCTTCCTCCCTGGTCTTTTCGAATTGTGGCACCTGTGTTGCCGCCTGAAATTAGTCTCGCGTGAAAGAAAAGAACGGAATACACGAGGTTTATTTTATATTTCTGTATAAAGTAATAGAGACGGTAACAAGGGGTCGATAGAGTAGCGATGCCTTTGTATGCGTTTACCTGCCGCATTCTTTCTCGAAATATAATCTGTATTCTCAGATCATTGGTACTGTTGATCTGTCGTTGGATCAAGAGTCCAGAATCCTGTTGCGCCATTAAAATCTTCTGTTTTTCCTTCAGCATTCGCGCGAAATGCAATCTTCTGGAAATGCAATTTTTCACGAAAGCATAGACGGGCACGCTTCCAGCGGGCTTACGACCGTATAAGAAGGACGATCGATTCTTTAATAAGGACTCTGTCAAAATTGTTTCGTTTGAAACGATCAACATTTCATGAAATTTTTCATGATACTTGTCATAGAGTATTACATACATATTAAGTCATCGTATCATCTTGTCTTGAGCGTATTTACGTCTCTTTGTGAGTATTTGAAACATTTACCTACGTCTATTCTAGTGCGAAGATAATACTGGTCCGACTGTACATTATCGAGAAATTCGGTTACGCCAAGAGGCAAAAATCGTTCTCCAGGTGCAAGCCATACCAGAGGTGCCCAATCTCGTATCAGTCTTCTTACTAAGATTGATAAATAAGAAAATGTTTAATCATCACATGCAGCGAATGTTACTAGAAATATGCGATTCGATAATATCAATCGCACGTCACTTGGTGTCATCACATCGTGACATGCATATATCACAATACAATGTATGTACCGTACATATGCATGTACTACGTGCGGATGGGCAGAGAGGATCAAGTGCATCTCGGATTCTCGGTTCAACTGTGCATACACACACACACACACACACACACACACACACACACACACACACACACACACACACACACACACACACAC